AAAGGAGCTACAGAGAGGGAGTTCTCTGGGCTGGGCGACTGCATTATGAAGATCTTTAAGTCTGATGGCTTGAGGGGCCTGTATCAAGGATTTAGCGTGTCTGTCCAGGGCATCATCATCTACAGAGCAGCCTATTTTGGGGTGTACGACACGGCCAAGGGTAAGAAGTGCATGGAGGAGTGACTGCAAGGGAAGATCCATCCAGTAAAGGCACTCTAGAGCACTTGGCAGTACAAGGACAGGCAGGGCTTGGCTCAGTACCAGTTCAGAGTGCAGTGCTAGAACACACACAGGTGTTTCTGACATGCATTCCTGCCTCCCTCAAGTTGCTGTTCTGAGCAGACGCCTTGGTTTTGGATTGACTCCTGGGGTTGGTGGGTGATTGTTCCTTCCACAGCCATCTTTCCCACAACCCTTTCCCTCTGTTCTGACTCTGCTCATTTGTTCTTGATGACAGGTATGTTGCCTGATCCAAAGAATGTGCATATCGTAGTGAGCTGGATGATTGCCCAGAGTGTCACTGCAGTGGCAGGGCTGGTTTCTTACCCTTTTGATACTGTGAGACGTAGGATGATGATGCAGTCTGGCCGAAAGGGAGGTAAGAATAAATGCTCCTATGGTATTCTGGCAGCAGAAAGTATCTCTTCATTGAGATAAGATGGGAGATACTGGGTAATTTTTTCTCTTATGATGGAAAACTAATGACCTTCTTAATGGAATCCTTTAAAAACAACCTACGGGAAACACATTGTTGGTTATTTCTGTCATGTTCACTTAAAGGACTGAGAAATTACTTGATTTCCACGTGGGGAATTACTTTTCCTTAATTGATTACTTAAATTCTGGGCTATACTTTGCTTATTCCTTGTTGGTTTAAAGATGGGGAAGTTGAAACATATTTGCTGTATAACTTCAAGCCTTATGACCTTTATGTTTGTTTCCACAGCTGATATTATGTATAAGGGCACAATTGATTGCTGGAAGAAGATAGCTAAAGATGAAGGATCCAAAGCGTTCTTCAAAGGTGCCTGGTCGAATGTGTTGAGAGGCATGGGTGGAGCTTTTGTATTAGTACTTTATGATGAAATCAAGAAGTACGTCTAAAACCGAACATCATAATGTAGTAGTTCAATTGTTCTCAATCAACTTTTTTTAAAAATGTGCTCTTGTGATGTAATGGACAACAAAATATTTCCTAGGGAAACAGAATAAAATTTGAGTAATGTAACTGGCAGAGATGAGGATGCAATTATTTAAAAATTATCCACTACATCACAGCTACATTTTGTATGACAATTCCTCCAGCATTTGTATTGGAACCTGTGTATATATTATACTTCAAATTGCAGGTAATAGATTTTGTCTAGAGACAAGACTTGGGTGGTCTATATCTAGTCTGAAATCTAATAATGTGAATTCTTAAAAGATTGTCATAAATATTTATGGTATTAAGCAATGTCTCTAGGTACCCAACCGTGTGATGATATAACATGAATTAAAATCATGTTTTCTTCTAAAGCTCTATTTTTTAATGATACTAAGTGAAATTGTCTGGAACTATAAACTATATTGAAACACCAGGCTGAGTTCCTAACTGCAGCCTCTTCACTGACAAATTACACAGTTATATGGTTGAGACCATAATCTGATTTTTCAACCATTCTTTGTAGAATATGGAAATAAAGTGTTTCAAAAGTTCCCTGTATTGTGACAAAGCAAAAAGTTGTCTGCTCTGAGGTTCAATTGAACTAAAACTGAAATGAAATAAATTAATATATTAATGAACTTTTTTCTGTTGTTTTCAGTACACTGAACACATTACAGGCATGTGTCTTCTAAGGTGATATGCTAATCAGCACACTGTTAGTGACTGTCTCTTCAAAGTTTTTTCAACAGAGCTTTAGGAGTAGGTGAAGTGCTTATTGATAATTCTACAATTGCAAAACCAAGTGGATTGAGTTTGAGGGTACTGCAGCCAGTTATCTTAGAGATAAGCTTCCATATTAGTCTTAGGTGCTTTGATAATTTATGTTATCCTTAACTTTGAGGTGTGTCCTCGTTGAATAGTGAAGTCACTGCTGCTTATTTTACTTGAAAAAGTATTCTAGAGTGGGATACTCCCAAGTTATTTTAATAACTACACTTTCAACTACACCATTATGAACACACTGAGCTATTAATTACCAGTGAGATCAGAACATGCTCAATACAGTTTTTAAACTTTAGATGCTGCATGGTTGTGAACTCACTGAAGAATAGGCTGTTCAATCAGGCAAAGAAAAGAAAGTGAGTTGTAGCTATTTCAGTTGTTAAGTTTGGCTATATATAAACAAAAATTTGGTACATATCCACCTAGGAAAAGAATCATAGAATGAGAGCATGGTTTGGGTTGGGACACCTTCCATTAGACCAGGTTGCTCAGGGCCCCATCCAACCTGGCCTTGAACACTTCCAGGGTTGGGGCATCCACAGCTTCTCTGGCCAAAGGGTAAGACTAAGCAAGTAATCATCAAATAGATTTTTATTTCACTTTCATCTTTTACTACTTCATATGTATGCCTCCCAGTTATCCCTCTTCTATATTTGAAACATTTATTGTCAGATGCAGGTGGTTCTGGCTCTCTGTCCCTTGGCATGACAGGCTCTGCGTGTCTGCCACAGGTTTCAACCAGCAGTTCTGTTCTCCATGAAGGCAGGTACAGACCACTAAACAGTGTCCGGAAACTATCGATCCACCTGAAGAACTGAAGCATTTGGGGAAAAAATTGGTCCAAAAAAAAAAAAAGATAGACTGTTTTTAAATTAACCAGTTTTAAATTATTTGTCCCAAGACAAAACTTGGCCTGATTGTTACCTCTCCCTTTTTTCATGGTCACTATCTTGAACACCTGCTTTTCTAGCTATCTGGTCTGTTTTCTTTCCCATTGTAAATAACCATGGTCACAATCTATCAAACCATAAATTTGTGAAGAAAATATTTCTACTAGTTTTCAAAGTGCATTAGTCTTCCTTAAAAGCTTTAGCTGCCAGTTTCACTTCTCTTCCTTTTCTCCTTCCTCTACACATTCCTAATGGTTCCTTATGAGAAGCCTGCTAACACACTCCAACTCTCCATTTTACATTTAGCTCACTGATGAGGTTGCAAATGGCATTTGGATGTGTTAGAGAAGATCGAAGTTGGCTACAAAGATGGCAGAGACAATGATGGACTGTACTAGGCAGAGGTACCAAACAATGGGGGGAAAGTGTATTTATGAATGAATAAGACAATTAAGAGGACACAAAGAAACTTACTTGGAAGTATAAATGAAAGAAGTTGCATTCTAGAAAAAAGGAAAAAAACCCAAAGGTAGAGGGAGGAATAAAGACTATTAAAAAGGAATGTGAGGAGTATCAATGCAGGAAAATTCTACTGGGGTAAGAGGCCGTACATGAAAGAAAACATACAGAAAGCACTTAAAGGTAAATGGCTGTTTATTTCTGCTTGAATGCCAATGCATATGCTGTGGCAGATTGCAGGCAGCAGTCTCCATAAAGATACCTGTGATCAGAGTTCAAAACTGTCGATGAATTAACCATTCTCCTGAAAGCAGCTCTGCCCTGAGTCTGTGGCACTCACTGTAACACTTGCTGGAAGTGTAACCTAAAATGCAGCTCTAAGCTCTGAAAGCCTGGAAATTAGAAGACTTTGCAGATGGTCTCTAATTTCTACTTGAACTCACAGTCAATTGATACTACTCCTTTCACACTTTTGCAATACCTGGTCACAGGCAAATTGTGCAGGCTAAAGCCTGTGACAAAACCATTATTCCCTTACATCTAATACTTGAACACTGGGAAACCTGTGTTTTTTGTGGTTTTCTATGTGCCAAGTTATTCAACATCCTTTGCATCTTAATACATTTATAAAATTCTTAAAGAAGCCACTGCAACGGCCGTTCATGTTAAATATTTTATTTCTTATGATTTACAAACGACATACAAAATTGACAGTTTTTCATACCAAAGTTAAATAAGATGAAGCGATTGAAAGTAATCAAAAAAACTATCATATTCAGAAGTATTTAAGCTGTGACTGATACTCAGATTCAAGGACAAAAACCTTAAAGTATGAGTAATTTTAATTAGCACAATAATAAAAATAAATACAGCAGAACTATACAAAACCTTACAGTTCCTATCCATGAAAAATAATCGCAATACAAATCTGTTTGCCTCGATGTTGCTTAAAGTTAGAAGTTCAAATATAGTCAAACAGCTAAATTTGATCTGCAGGTCACCAAGTGCAGCAGCTCTGCCAAACTATCACACAGGACCAAGTAAAAATGTGTTACAATGCAGAATACCCAAAAGCCTAAGCCCTCATGCAAGCACTAGCAAAGAATAATAAACTTTTCTTGTCATAGGGCTAAGACCCAGCATTACCAAATATTCTTTATTCACAATATAGAGATTTCTTGTATCTCTCCTGGGAAGAAGCTGGGAAAGCAAGCAAGGTTTCAGCAATATCCACAGACAGCAGCATCACAATTTATGCTCCTATTATATGGCTACATTCCTACAAAACAAGCTCACTGAAAGTTTGCGTTTATGTATAGAAATAAACCACACCACCTACTATTTGTGATTACCAAGTCCATTAGATTTTACTCCCCTTGTAAATGGATGTTGCTACTGGAGCTTATCTGACATTACTACAAATATTTGGTATGAACGTGACATTTAAAAACAGGTTAAGAAGCATAACAAGACTGCTTTCTACTGCTTTTTTGTTTCTAAATCCTGGTTAGTAGTCACTCTCAAAATCAAATATTGAAGATGTTTCCTGCAGTTCAAGTTTGCATCTTCCCACTGAGAAGAGCAAGCATCTGCAAAAGCAGGGCCATGAAGTATTTCCCTTGCTTAATATTATTCTTTAGGTTGAGAACTAGAACTTATTCTTGTTTACACTGAGTCTGAAACTGCTGTTCACTTCAGTCTTCACCCTTGTTCAAGTAATATCAGATGCTTCTTTCCTACACAAATGTCCTAATACATCTTCCGAGATCCAATACAACTTCCCAAATCCTTTTAATTCTGGAAGAGACAGCCTTGCGTACAAAACATACTCCAGGTGTCGAATGTTTAAGAGTGGCAAACATCATCTTCTGCAGCCTCAGTATTCTAGCTCACCATGCAGGAATACACAATCTGCTTTGCACCCCTTCACACTGCTGTGAAAGATTCTTTCAGTCACAAGAACATGACCCACGAATTTCAGAAGGCTTACATAAAGCCAGGATGAAAAGCAAGGACAATACAGGAATGAAGCATATACTTATGAATTTAATGCAGTATTTAAAGTATTATTAACATTTTAAAGATTTTATTTACATCTTGCACCTATAAGTGCAGTAATTCTGTCCTTCCATGTTACGGATACAAATTCCACTTCTGAGAATAAAATAATAGTTAAATTTCTATTTAATTTGTCCATTTAGATATCTTCCTCTCTTTCCTAAGTTCTTCCTCTCATGGAAAACACTGAATAAGGGAAAGTGTTCACTTAGAAACATTTTATAAGCAATTATATTAAACACAATGCATTGTAATCACTGAACAATGCAGAAATATTTTTGCACATAGAATTTACAAAAGCACTAAAAATAGAAGTCTGAGGATCATATCAGAACGCGAGGCAAAGAACACACTTACAACCAAGCAGCACGGACATTAGTGGGTTTAGGTCTCTGTAATACCCCACTGGCTAAATCAGACATGGGCTTTTCGTTTCTCTGGCTCAGTGTATTTTGTACAGCGGATAATCTTGAAGTTCCTCCTGTTAACACACACACAAAGGGAGAATGCTTGTGCTCAGTACAACAGAAAACTTCATGCTATGTTACTACTGCAATGGTCATTACCATAGTTTACAGAAAAAAACCCAAAACAGTAAATTGAATACAAACCCAAAATGTTATGAGCTGTTTGTAAATGACCAGGACAAAGAATTCAGGCCTGTGATTCTTTAACCCAACATACATGGGTCTATAGGGACACATTACCTACTTCCAAATCTTACACAATTTCTGAGAAAAACAAGGCTACTATCAGTAAATCTACATTTTCTGAATGAGAATTTGAATCTTCATTGAGGTTTTTGTGGGTGTTTTGGTTGGGTTTTTTCCTCCCCCTCTATTCTCCTTTCAATATTGGCAAAATTAGGAACACACTACAACAGGGATTTTTATTTCTTGGACAAGATAATTTATTAGAAATCTAGGAGGGCAACAAAACAATGCATATAGTCATCATATATTTGGTATGATTAAAAAAAAAAATCACTTTAACGATTTCTGTGTGATAAATGATCAATCTAAAGGCAACAGAAAAAGGAACATATTTGCTATTCTTAACAGTAAGTGCTTCACAATTCTGAATTGTAAGAAGATAAACACATGCATAGAAATGCAATAATCTGCAACTTCAAAGTACTTACTTGGAGGACTAAGCTGGGTGAAAGGAGATTTAGCCCTTCTTACAGAAGGTGAAGAACTCAGATAACTCATCTGGCGGTGATAGTCCCTCAGCTGTTCAGAACGTCTCATCCCGGCTGTTGGTTTCACCGCTTCCAGTCTTTTCAGGAAAGCCTTAATATTGAAGGAAAATATCATCAAGGAGAAAGAATGAACAAGATGCTACAAAACAAATACAAACTGATTTTTATTTGACCTGCAAAAAACCCCCAAAGTTTTAGCAGTGCATAACACGAACTCCATTGGTGACCAGCATAAGCTATTCTGCTCATGTTCAATTCTTTTCTCAGTGTTATGAGATGACACAAACTGTAACTATCCCTTGCACATCATCAGTTCTACACTGATGATCTTTAGTACCTGAAAGTTCTTTGTACTTTATGGTAACTTGAAACAATACATCTGTTTGGTGATAGTAAAGGTAGCGAGGAAGTGGCCTGCACTCTTCTAATCTGACCTTTGGTTAGTCCTCCCTTCTAAATTTCCAGAAGGATGAGAAGTTAGGAGTTGTTTTTTTAATCTTTGCTTTGCAAAAATTACTTAGACCATTTTATATTGCCCTATATGATCCCCAGAGAGGATACTGACCCCAACCCTGTGAAATAAATTTCAAAAGGAAAGCACAAACATCCATCCACAGGACACACTTTGTTTTATCCATAATGTAATTTTAAGAGACTCTAGTTGAAATTATTGATACAGACACCATTTCCTCTTGTTGAAATTAGCCCTGGCAATCATGCAATAAGTGATAAATTGGAATAGCTACTTACATAGTATCTGTAAAATACATTTTCCTATTCTATAATTACTTTTACTTGAAACAGGATTTATTGGTTTAAGAAATTTCGATAATCTAAAAAAAGAACCCGATAAGAGGACAAATTGGGAAGTACCCAGCTACATGCAATATCCAATTAACAACTTCAAAATTTTAATATATTTCACCTTTAGTGGTTGCCTCACACAGATCTACAGATTTCCTCTACTAACTAATTTCACTTCATTTCATGGCCTACAAACATTTGGCAATGACACAACCGTTGCTGTTCAGGGTTAGACATGCATCCTATGAACAACAAACAATGCAAACTGTGCTTACAGAAGTTTCCAAAGCACTAAAAATAACTCTGCTAATAGGATGTATTGTCTAGATGCATACTTATATGGTAGAAGTCAAGAAGCTGTCTGTATCACCACTAAACTGTAGCCCCAATCACGTACTGATTTTTTTTAAAATAAGAATACAAAAAATTACAATAACTGACTTAGGAAATATTACAGGATTCACAGGATGTCAGTTGTCATTGTCTAACTGTAACAGGAATCTACAAACTCCTGGTAGTTTATGCATGGGCACTAGAAACCTGCACAGAGCGCACAAGAGAGAAAGGACAAGTGATTTTGGCTCAGACATAACATGTCACAAGTGCCTGCAACAAGTGCCAGCCAGTTCACAGTCAAGTGGAAATACCTAAGTAAGCAAAAGTCAAAGGAAGGACTTCAGCTAGAAATAGCTCTTCACTAAAGTCAGTTACAGAACATGAAATGGTAGACTTGTCTCTAAATGTTATATCCAATATTTTACTAACAACTTCATCTGCAAGTCCTAATACAGTTATATACATTTAGAGTTGCAGAGATCACCCATTTACCTTCAGTATTAAAAATGGAAGCTCTCAATACATTCAGTTCCATCACAAATGGATCAGGTAAATTGTAGAAGTGACTTTCCAATGAATCAAGCATGTTTCAAGTCTGCGTTCCACTGTAACAGCTTCATAAAATTTGCATACCTTAACAGTGCACTAATTTCAAGCTTGATTCTGAACATACAATATTTACATATATTTATTCTTTATAAATAAATACAATTGTCTGCTTTTGCTTTTATGCCTGTATTTCAACAACTATCAAATTCCCATTACTAAAGCAAAAAAAAAAAAAGAGACCTCTCAGTACTAAAATATTACTTTTTGAACAGGTTATCACTGGACTTGATTCAGCCCTGAGCTATGGAAAGAGCAGATATAGATTCCATGGTGCAGAAGGGTCTGAAGGAAAGCTCTTCCAGAGAATGGGAGAACAGCTCCTGAGGTTTCCTTGCCCTCTGCTGCAGATTGTACCAAGGGCATGTTAATTTATGCACTATTTGCAGACGTGAATTTTGCTGTTTGGAGAACAGCCTGCTGCATACAGAAATGAACTCATCAACACACTGGAATGGCAGCCCTGACCTACTAAATCTGTAACCCAGAACTAATCCAATTGTTATGTTTTTATTACCGACCCTACAATCTTGAGGTTCTTAAGCGAGGGAACTACTTTGTGCAAGGTACAAGTACCTTGAACAGATGTTCTTTATCAGTTACACATATAAATGTACTAATTCTTTCATTATGTTCTCCTTTTCAGAAATGGACTGAAGACAGCTGCCACTTCCCTTGTTCTTTTGAAGTACTAAATCTCTGGAGCCTTAATCATGCATCACTAAAGTAAACAGAAATTTCATCACTGATCTCAATGATCAGAGAATAAGATCACAGAAAACAATCCAGGTGTTTAGAACCAAATATATGTTCCCCATCAAATTTTAAGGAATAAAAATAATGAATAACAGACACTAATGGCAGGAATGTTATTAATTGCTCTAAATCACATTGTAGCCCCTCATAGCTCTTGATTCAAGCTCAATACATATATAGTATCATATTACTGATAACCTCCCAAGCTTGGCAAAAGACTTCCCAAGCTTACATTTTCCCCGTCTTCTTTTACTTTAATACTGAGTTTATAGTAAAAGTAGAATATGAAAAAAAAAAAGAAAAAAAATCACAGTGGGTGTTCCTGCATGATTACCTTCTAGGAATGGAACAATCCTTTATAAATCTAGACATCTGGACATAGATAAGTATCTATAAAGACACTAAAATACATATTGTCAATGACAGAAGGAAACGTCAGATTGCCAAAAAGCAGAGAACAAAGAAACCCAACAAAATTTAAAAACTGCTTCTATACAGTAGGCCAAACTAAAATTTGGTAATTCAATTTTGGACACATCAGGAGAACACTGAAGGTAATTCTAATGCTCTCTGTCAGAAAAAGGAAAAAATTTGGACAACGCTCTCAGGCACATGGTGTGACTCTTGGGGATGTCCTGTGCAGGAGTTGGACTCTATGATCTTTGTGGGTCTCTTCCAACTCAGCATATTCTGTGATTCTGTGAAATATAAAATAATCAGTACAGACTTCCCTGCATCTGTGTTGAAAAAGGAAGGAAAAAAAAAAATCACTGAAAATGTAGCACTCTGAAAATGAGTTCACTGAGAAGATAAAAAATGTTACTGTTTCTTGGTTACTTAGCTTTTTAAAAGCATGAAGGTTTCAGTTTCACCTCCTCTGAATCCTAACCAGCTGACTAGTGTTCCTTGACAGCTGTTCAAATTTATTTATATTATGCCTGCTCTAATGTCACTGATGTTAGTGACCACACTGTCCCTTTGCAGAGTCCAGGTGGGGGAGGGGGAAATATAACTGCATTCAAGGACAGTTTTCTGTAATTATCAATACAAGTATTTGTAATTTTCTTTAATTGCCAATTGCACTAACTAGCTCTAACCTGACAAACTCTGAATGTCAAAAAACTCTTAAGAGTTCTTCAATCTACAGAAAAGTCTTTTTAAATGAGCAGCTATTATGTGTGGCTGGCATCACCACAAGGAAAGTAGGCTAAGAGTACAGAAAAAAAAAAACCAACACAAATTCAAGCAGTTTGCAAAATATTCAAAGCTTTTCCTGAACATGCCACTAAGTCAGTCTTTATTATAATTACCATAGCAGTATTCAGGAATCTTAAATGTGGGTCAGGAATCTAAAGACCATAAGAAATTTGACCACAAAGAGCCTACAGTCTAAATACTATCATCACAGAACTACACTATATTTGTACTGTATTGTAGTATACTTTAGCCAGGCACATCTGTGTCACATCCTGACAGCTCCCCCCGATTAGAGGGCTGTGGAAACTTTTTTTTTGCATTGGACTTTGTAATCTCAGGAAATACCAATGTTTTGTCTTTAGTCTGGGCATACAGTGCCTTTGAACCTACTAAGTGAAAATACCATATACAACCCTGTGTGCTTGTGTTTTTGAGGAGCCACCAACTCGAGTACTTCTGAGTTCCTAAGACCTTAGCTGCATTCTCTACAGCTTTCTTCTCCAGAGTGAGACCAGTGAGGCCAACAACCTTGGTATTCTTTCTACAACCATGTAAGTGTGAAGCATCCAAGGCCTGCTGATGCTTTCTGACTCCAGGGATGGTTCCTGGAGACAGGACAAAGGGAAGGCAGAGAAAAAGCAGTGCGGAATACTTTTAGGGAGGTAAGTACATGATGCTCAGGTGCAATCCTGATGGACCAGTGCCCTCCCCCTCCTATTTCTTTCCATGCCTCAAAGTTTGCCCTGTTTGCAGCACAACACAGATGGCAGGACAGGTGCTGTGCAGCACAGGATCAAAGGTATATTTTGTGTATGTGGTAGCAGCCAGGTAGGGGGATGGCCAGAAGCACTATCCCTCCTTTGCCCTTTATTTCCCACCCATTACCATGCACATCTACACCATTAAATGGAGACAAATGAATACACATTTATTTACCTTCACAGCAATGCAATAAATGTATTTCTAAAGGAGGTTCAGGATTTCCAGCAGGACTAAGCCAGCTCAGATTGCAAAAGAAGGGAAATAGCCTCCCTGAAGGATCTTCGTGCTGGTAGGGGCCACTGACTACAGCAAGTACTGGGGAGAAGCATTAGTGAATCTGCAGCAGAGAGGACTTGGGGAACCAAGTAGGTGAAAAGAGAAAGACTGCCCTTGCAAAGGAACACAATAAGTGATTTAATTTGCGCAGAAGAGTGACTATACTGGAACTGAGAGCAAAGTTGGATCTGTTGGGGCTTAGGGTTCATTTTGTGGGAATATGAGGTGGGGGAAAGAAGAACATGGAATGTTATGTACAGTGAGCCATAAAAGCATGGGGCAGGAAGAATGCACAGGGATGTATAGAAAGACCAAATATATACAAAAAAGAACACCCTTATCTCCCTTAAGCTAAGGTTTGAGAACTGCTGTGCCAGAGCTGCTGAGATCTTCCAGTGAAATTCCAGTGTGAACTGAAAAGGTCACTTGTCCCCTAGGAACCTGCCTGAACACAGCAGCTTAGCTCACTAAGGTCATCGAACACCTAAATCCCAGTTGGAATTCATAAAAATGATGAAAAAAACCAAGAGAAAACAACAGAGAGATACTAATTACTTCTAAGTTCTAATGAAGTGACTGAAGAATGGTGTGAATGGCTGCAAATCTGTATTTCAAGGACCCCAAACACTTACCCATATATGCCAGTATACATTTTTGCATTACACAATAAACCATTAAATATTTCAATGGCGTATAGTGTCCAGTCCATGAAGTTGAGTATCTTATTTATACTGGCAAAAATAATGATTAATATGTCAATATAGATAGACACACTACATGCAGACATGGGGAAAATAGCAACACATCAGTCACACTTAAGTCCCTTTCCACTGAAGAAGAGATGGAGTTGAGAATATCTTCAAACACAGCAGTAGAATGTTTTCTGAATCAGCAGCATCCTCTATTGGCAAGCACGGCACTCTGGTCTTGTTAGCTCAGATAAGCCACTAAAAGCAGGTTCCATTTATGAAAGCATACAGTCAAAAGCAGCAAGTACAAAATTCTGGCATTAATTTTAGCAGCAATCTATTTTGCTAATTGTGCTTTTTCCATAAATTGCTAATCAGTACTTTAAAACTACTGTTCTTCAGAGTAATGCATCTTTTTATTCCACCTAAGTTCTTTCTAACAGAGTCTATGGGAACATATATTCCCTGTACCTCCTGGCACCCTTTCACAAACCTAGAGAGCACTAAACCATTCAGATTCCCCTCTAATTTCCTAAAATTTTACTTACTCTCCCTGCATCACCTCTGATGCCAAATGCCAGCACCAGAAATCAAGCTTTCGGATAACAGTAAGTATAGACATTACTCCAAGAACGTTCTAGTGGAAAAAGTGAAAGTTTTCCCTAGACAAGTTGTTAACCTCAGGGCAAGAAATTATGAAAGCTGTACATCAACAGGGGAAAAAAAAAGATCTCTGCATCAAAACTCTTTAACTCCCTGCAGAGACTACTGTTGTAGATTTCTGTTCTTGAATTATTTACAAAACTCTTTATCCTTCTCCAACAAACATTTCCCTAAGGTGTATCAAGCAGCATATCCAGTATGAAGTACCCTCAGGCCTTGTATAAAAGAACTCCTGAGAAGTAACAGAAGATTAATAAGGAAGTTCCATGGAATTCCACCTCTTCAAATCTACAAAGGTGAAGAAAGCTGCTGACCAGAAGAAAACAACTTCATAAAGCACATACTTTTGTCTATATAGAGCAAAAAAAAGTCATCAATGGGCAGGGTAGAGATGTTCTTTTATTTGCAGTCTCAGAGAAAAGCATGTCATACCTGTAATCCCAAAAAGTAGTGCTAGAAAAATTAATATGTTACAACTATGATACTCTCAGTGTGCTACACTTCAAGAAGAATAAAAAAGTAAAATACATTGCTGAGAAACAATAGCAGTGTTAAACAAAACGTGAGAGCTGTACTGATGAATCACTGTTCCAAAGAGAGGAGCAAAATATATCATCCTGAGTTTGGGGAAAAGAATAAACCAAATTTTATAGTCTAAACTAGCACGATGTCCTAATATAAATTCTAGGAGTTATTCTTGTATCAAACATGTCTGCCCACGTTGATGACGACAACAACTAAAGTATAAATGGACAAGTAAATGAAGAATATTATTTCTTGGACTACACACAACCACCATAAATATCTACCATGTACTAAAACAGCAATGTGTGAAATGATTATATGTGTTTAGGTTTGCTGCATTTTTTGATCCAAAGGGTGAAAAGGCAAGACAGTCTTGAACAAATACTGCAATATATCGTAAGAGAAAAGGTTTGTGTCTTTGTGTAAACAAAAGTGTATTGTAAAACATCCTATACATTAATTTACTGGAATAATTTGTTGTTATGCAGTACAGCATATTACTGTTACATCTTATGTGACTGTGACACAGCACTTCCTCCCCACAGCCTAAGAATACACTCCTATTATCAAGCTTCTTGTGTTACAGCAAGTCCTGTTTTCAAAGTTTTAAATAAACATCTCCACTACCCCCAACACACGAAGAAAGTCCTCCTACCAGCCTAAACACACCAATCAAAATACACACTTCTAGCCCAGCCACTGAGAAGTATCACACAACTGTAACAAATTCTTGTGCTAAATTCTTTTAGGCTGTCAAGTATAATAATGTGAAGTATAATGTCAACTGCAGTGCAGTGGAGCTAGGGAGAAAGTTTCCTACTTCAAAGTCTTAACAATCCAGATGTCTGAAAACTGGAAGAATTAAAACGTAACAGATTCCCCTGAATAGGGCAATCAGACTTTCTCCATGTTGAATTGTATCTCAGTCTATATGTATATAAAAGGAAATGCAACCTACACTTACACAGAAGGGAAAAAAGTAATAAATTATTTCCAGTATACATTTTACAATTATTTTAATTATATTTTATCTCTTTTTCAAGCACACAAGTAGGAGATATGAAAATGTCATTACATGTATCTATTACAATTCAATTAATAAAACTATCTTATTCAAACCAGTGTTACTTTTGTTATTTGAGTACTCTGCCAATATCCTTACAAATGCATCTGAATTTTTGTTTTCCACTAAAGTAAGCTATTGTGATTGCCATCACAAACCCTGTGACAAGCAGAGTGCTACAAATATACAGAGACAGACCCATGAGACAAAAACCAAAACTGACACTGACTTTGTATCCTCTGCATTTAAAATATAATGGGTTTGATGCTATCATATTGATTGTTTTATCTTCAGCAAGCCTGTTCTTGAGAGACTAGTAATCCTGATGCATGAAGTAGGATGAACAGTCAGACTGCTATCCAGTGTTTTGAGTGTTTTACCAATAACACTTATTCCTCTTAAATTACATTATATCAAAGTAGAGCAAACTCATATAAACTAAAATCTATTTTCATCTGAAAAAAGCATCACAGCCCCTACCTTCCCCCCAAAAAATCCCACTTGCCCATATGAACAATTATGCAAACAGAATAGTAGTGGAAATTCATAGAAGAATTACTGCAGTAAAGGTCCGAGTACTGTTTCATCAATTTTCTAAATATTTAGCAATAGCTTATCTGGCAAGAGATAGTCCTTCCCAATTTACTGATCCACATCCATACTCAGAACTTACCAGGTTTTCTCTTTCAATTCTTTGCTGCTCTTTTTGCCTGTTGAGGGCACTGTGGTACAATCTAGGAGACGGTACAGATGTTTTCTTCAACGTGGTACTTCTTCTTGGCTTTGCAGACTGTCTGGACAGTTCTTTCAGCAACCTTTGGTTTTCCCGATCGATCTGTCTTACTTCTTCATTTGTGAAAGAATAATTTTTCCTTATTCCTTTAGGTGGCTGATCGATGGTTAGTTTTTGTTCTTTTTTCTCCAGCTGTAAGAAAGCTTTAAAATAGCAAACAGTGAAAAAAATATGTAGATTAGAAAACACAGCTTCAGTATTGAAATAAATTACAGAACCAAGAGTTAAACCATAAATTAATATTTAGATGCTTGCACATAGAAAAAGATTTAAACTTGGTTCCAAAGTTAATCTAAAGTATCTGTCTCAGATGAGAGGCAGAATAGAAATGATGTTTCAGACACAAAACCGACACTGGGGAAGCAGAACTCAGAGGCACAAAGTGCACCCCCTGAAGTGATTTTGTTGATCCTTTGCTCCTGAAGCAATCCTACATCTTGCTGGTGCAGGAAATGGAAAGGGAATTATAAAAATTAAATGCAATGGGTGGAAATGAGCGAGAACATAAAAGAAAAATTATTTGGGCCTGGCAATTTAAAACAGCAAACAAATAAAAATTAAACCATGCTATAAGGTTTCAAGGCAAAGAATGCACACTTAAAAATACACAGCAAGTCAGACTTGCACAACTGCAACGTAAGATAACTGGAAAACTTCACTCTTAGCCAAAGACAGCTATATTTACTATAGTTTCACTGAAGCTTTGCTGTTGACCTACTTCTAAGCCTTTGCTTTCTAAAGCTCTGCAGTACATCTTCCGGTAACTGCTTTAAGAGCTATGCTGCCAGGTATTACCCTATCAACCACTGCATTATCTACGGTACAAGAACGGCAGTACCACATTAGGTTAAACAGATTTTTGGAGCTGAGACACAGACAAGGAAGCCTTATTCAAGCCATTCCCCACATTCCTCCAATATCACAGTGCCTTCAGAAGACACCCCTCACTTATTCCCCTAAAAGCTCCACACAAGCAAAACAAGCATCCAAAGCAGAAAGAAAAAAAAAAAAAACCAACCAGGCATGCAGTAATATTTCCCCAGCAAACACTTCCACATTAGCAACCTGTTGGCAAGGGATGTCTGAGTCAGCCTATAACAGCTTAAAAACTTCAAAGAATCATGAGTGTTTTCTTACTTCAAAACAAAATTAAATCTTTCTTGCAGTATCTCAACTGAGTTTATTTCAGAACTGATGCAAGTAAATATTGCTACTGTCTTTGATAAATTTAGGAACAGTATCCAAAAAGCAAAATCCAAACACTTCATGAATTTCAACATTCCTCTGGAAATTATTAAGCTTGCTCCATCAGTATGCTAGTGAATATAGGCAAGAACTGCCCGTAGGCAGCTCTAACTGTGAGGTTCCCCACATTAGCAAATACCGCTTGTCCTAGTTAGGACAGCTGAGATCAGTTCATCATGGTGGGTGTAACCCAAAACTGTATTCTATAGCCTTCCATGTCATTTCCCAGAAACTAGACTATTGTTGTCAATAGACTATTCGCACCCTCTGCCCATAGAGCCTGACTCCTCAGGCTATAAACTGGGTGTTAAGAGGCCTGTGAGATAGGAGGATGTTTCTGTCCTCACACCCTTTGTGGAAGTCCCCGCCCTGAGGGGAGCACTGAACATTCCTGCCTGAACTGGAGGATATATAATCTTGGAGTTTTGGAACATTTTTCAACCCACTCGTGGGATCCAGAGGACGGCTGCATCTCATCGCTCTCAACCAGACTTAGACCACCACTGGACTGCGATCACCAGTTCTGGCCAGACTGCAGCAGCTCTCCCACCAGCAGGTTCTTCCCCTCTCCCTTTACTTTGGACTCAAACAGGGCCCAAGGAACACCACTTTGTTCAGGCCCCAGGGCACTGGGTTATACATTTGGGTTTTTGTGGGTTGAGACCAATTGTTGGTTTGTATTATTGTACTTACTGTATCATTTTAATAAATTGTTATTCTGACTTATAATCTCTCCTTTGAGTTGAGTTCATCCCTCCTGCTGGTTAACTTTTAAACCAGCACACCGCTTTCATTTGTCAAGAGAAGATGCAAATCACCTCAAAACCAAGACACAATGCAAACTAGCACAGACCGAGTGTGCCAACCAACAGGTTAATAAAGTATAAATGTCTTGAAAAACATCTTTACAGTTTAGTAAGTTATTCCCAAGGGAAAACTAGTATACCCATTGACGCCATTGCAGGAAACAGACCTGGAATAAGACTCATCTGGATAAACCTACAAGGTACAAAGAGAAATGGAAAGAAAATAGCTAGAACCACACGATTCATAAAACTGCAGCATACCTCTCAGTAGAAAATAATTAAATATTTTTTTATGGGAACATGCAAAAGCAGCACTGCAGAACACAAGTGGAAGAAAGTAATTTGAACAACCATCTGAAGAAGATAAAATATTACATAATGGATAATTGTTCTATTATGGAGCTATGAAAGGTAATTTTACCTTTTGCCTTAAATCCATAGCATCTCATGGGTTAAAGACTGCACATCATATGCAAGAGTGGAAATCAGGTTGTGGCACAGAACAGCTGCTGAACTCAAGCCTTGACCTAGCTTTGTGACACTGATGCTATTGGTGATGAAGTCACTTACAAGAGACACTTAAGCTTCTGAATAACTGTCAGTGAAAATTTACAGCAACTCTCTTGTTTCTGTGAAAGGTGTGAACTAGTCAAATTCAATTTAAAGCAATGGTATTCTGGATGAAGACATTTTCAATTAGAAATACAGTTTTCATGTCCTCAGTGGTATGTGACTTAATTCTCTGTAAGATACAAGCTGGCTATACTTTGGCAGAGACTCTATATGCCTATGATGCAGCTGTGAACTATAACCAGTTAAGAGATGAAAAATGCTTCAAGGTAATTACTTATTTTCTGACTTTCTCAGTTTCTGGTAAACCCCTGTCAGGTGTGATGAAAAAAATAAAACCAGAGCAGGAACATGGAACAAACACCTTTTCCCTTCTCCCCATTACTGCTGGTCAGTAAATGCTTTTAGAAATGATGATTTAAGGTACCCTGCAGCGATTGCTACACACAGGGCTCAACAAGCACTGCATTACTTTGTCCCTCAGATCCCCAGGGGGTAGTGGTCTCCAACTTCAGTAGCATTAAACACCACAGTATTTTACCAGAAAGAAGTTCTCAGGCAATTAGTGTGACTACAAACCTACATATGTATCCATGGGTACTCTACTGGGTACTTCTTCTTATATATATGTGAATAAAGCATGACAAAATTTTACTAATTTACTCTCACCTGCTAGTCACATTGACCTCCCTCAGTCACATTCCCCCCAAATACACGCACTTTTCTTTTTTAATTCTTCTTCTTTTCCTTAGCCTCTCATAAGTCTTTTCAATATATTACACTTCTTCAGTGCCTCATCCACACCCTTTGTCACCTCACCACAAAGACTGCCTTTCCCACTTGTGTCAGGCAGAGACTCCAGCTCACTTTCTTCAGTATGTTGTTCATTCTTAGACTCATAAATATTTATTATTTATTTTTAGTGTAGACACTGACTTTATTATGGCCAACAGCTTTCTGACAAGTCTTAAGGTTAAGAGCTTGCTAACAGTCATAACTGAATTTATCACAATTCAAAAGCAATATATAATACAGTGAAAGAATTAAGATAACTGCAAAGGTTTTGCTGTGAAGTTATTCAGTGAGGCCTGATCAGAGGACTGACAAAAGCAAGTAATCCATTGATAACACTGTTGAATTATAGGAGACTCATTAATTTTGCACCAGAAGTTCAGAACCAACACGACACACGCAGCAGCAAGTTTTTTCATGGGGATGGAGTAAAAAGATCAGTCTAAAACTTTTTAGTTCCTTGCTAATTTCTTTGGTACCTCAAACGATGTTATTATCAGCATTCCCTACGACCCAAGAACAACATTTGAAATTTCACAACTACCTCTCTGCAGAACAAGTGCTGCAATACAGCAAGGCATTGGATCAGGTAACATAGTAAAACTAGTTGGTTTGCTGGTCTTCAAGTTGGTAAATTAATAAATTAAAGTTGTGTTTTACTTAGTTAAGATTTATGTTAAGGAAGAATTTAAGCTGTAAACGCTACTCCAAAGCAAACCATAACTTACTAAAGCCTATCTATAGATGATCTTTCCTAAACCACACAAATGCAACATTGATTTTCTTAGGAACTGTGTGACAGGAGAGTTTAAACTTCAATAGAAAAAAAAGACTAACAGTAGAAGAAAATGACTACTAGTAGAAAAAAAATGCATGCTGTGTCATTTTACTGAAAGAGTATCATTAATACTACAGTATAACTGCTCATTCCTAACAAAACGAGCAAAAGGCAGGGGACATCCCTGCAATCATTACACCTCAAATGATACTCAAATATATCATAGAAGCAATCTAGAAGGCAGTGAGCAAAAACTTCCGCAGGTCTTTCTGAAGCAGAAGTGACACTTTTTCCATAGTTCAGAAAGAGGTTTCTGATCCCCAAACCTCAATCAGCAGTAATAGCTGCCACTACTTCCAAAGTTACCTGGCTGAAAATCTGTCCAACCTGCCCCTGCAAAGCACCACTTTGATAATACAGCATCATATTCCTATTCTCCACACACTAACTATGACAGAAAATTAGGTAATCTACACTAGAAATTTATGTCCAATATGCACTGAATGCACTTCACCATTCAACACCTGGCAAGAACACTGCTTCCATGGCAAGGACAGTAGGTGCCTAAGAAAGGTCAGCACATGCCCATAAAACCAGGGAGAATTCACCACCAATAACCAAAACCCACGCTACTCTTTAATCACAATGCGTAAGGGTTTGAATGGTTTACCTGACTATTTTTGCAGTGGCCACTGACAACATCAGATAACACAACAGTTTAAGGTTATGATTTAAGGTTCTAAAGAGTTTGTGAGTCTTGAAAAAATTCAATATTCTTTACCTGTTGTATCCATACTCTATCAGTGGGTAATAAGTAATTTAACTAAACCCCTACTTACTTTCATTTTCAGACCATAAATACAATTTGGGGGAGGTGATAAATAAGCAGCAGCATTTGCATAACGACTTCACAGTGTGAAGTCTACTTCTCATTTACCGGTAAGCAGGAGAAGAAAATTCCCTGGTGTTCACAGGATTTCTATGAAAGCTGGTTTCCATGGAGAGAGACCTGACTTTTTTTTTAAGCAATAAACAAGCTGTTTATTGCTTTCAATTTCTAAGCATTGAAATGACCTTACAGAATGAGAAAGGTCAAACCGTATAAAAATTACAAATTATAATTAACAAGTCAAATGCATTAGGATGGGATGATAGAGCTGTCCTAATGGCATTAAGGCTAAAATCAAAAGCATGCATGTTTCAGTACATCTGTTGCTGTTCCAGTACAAATTTCTTCAGTGTTTACATTTGCCTGATCTTTTGTTTTATACTGCTCCCCTACCACAACCGTAACACATCTGAAAAATACTAAAGGATTAAATCAATCACAGTTCTTCACCAATGTCAAGTAGTTTCAATTTTAAACTAGTTCCCTGTGGTATCTCTAAACAAATACTCCTTAGAACATCCATTATTTCATGCCACAGAGCTCTTTAAAAGGGATTTTGAAGAATTCATGATTTAGTGTTTTTTAAGAAAAGGAGTGTAGGGAAAGAAGGGTAAACATGTAAGATTTATTCGAGGAGGAAAAAAGAGTTTCGCTGAAGGAGGTTTTTGCTGCTAAGAAAACTAGACCTAGGAAAAAGCCAGTGTGGGAGAAAATTCTTTCCCATGAACGGTACTACCTATTTTTTGCTGTTTTGAGAAGTTAACTCCCCTTTTGCAAGAAGCAGTGACCGTTCTCACACTTGTCGAAGGCCTCTGGGGAGACAAAGAAACCATAAAGCACAGAGGAGATTATCACTTTGAAGTCATGCGCATGCAAAAGGTGTTGTCATAAAGGCACCTGCATGGGCCTCCCAGGGCTGCTTTTTGTGCCTGCTGCACGATTTTTAGCAGTCTATTTAGGGTTTTGGACTTCAGAATAAACTTGTCCTTAATACCTTAGCCGTGGTTTGGTCGTCTGGGTTTACCTGTGTGCATATTGCTTGTTACAAGGAGGATGTCCTCTCAGGTGTAAATTTTCCCTACTTAAATACGCTTAAATAGGGCTCCTAGTTATCTCGATGTTATGAGAAAGACAACAGATATTTTGCAGGTGCTGAACTGTTTTTTCCCCCATAATATACACATTTTCTCATGGATGTTGGAAAAGTCTAAATCTCTTCATAACCTTACAGATTTTCAATCCGTTTTCAAATTCTAAATATAAGAATAAGCTGAAAATTGCTCTTCTACCTCAACACGAGTTTCTAGATCTGTGAGAACAAAGCATATGCATACACATGCACACACAGAGTTAGTTCAAACTCTCAAAATGCAAACTAAATGAAACTCCATGGAAAAGCTATATATGTTTAGTTCAATTCTACAGTTTGGGTACATATATATTTCAGTGTCTACTTTAAATTTAGATACTGCTTAACAGTTATTCTACAAATATACTAGTTCAGCATGAACGAGCACACAGAAAACATACCCCTAGGAGGACAAAGTTTCAATTATCAAAAACTTTTTCTATTTCCTGAGTGACAAATCATAGCAAAAAAAAAAAAAAGTGAAAGCAATTGCTACATGTTCAGTTGAAGCTGCTATTTAACTTTCTACAATAGATTTTATTCAGAAACACAGAGCTTTTACTTTCATAATAACAATATTTATATCACAGTGCTTTTCACATGGGGAGCTCTGACTATTTGAAAAATCTAAGGCACAGAAGAGGCAAAAAGATTTATTATCATAGACGTCAGTGCGAGCTTCAAGGATAGAACTGATCTTCAGCCTGTGGCCAATTGCCCTACTTACCCCATCATACCACCTCCTCAAGTTAATAATAGCTAATACCATGGATTTACAGACTAATTCTCACAGACACTTCAGTAAAATAAGCAGGTATCAACCCCATTTTACAGAGAAGAAAACGTGAAGTGCTAAATTCTTTAGCACTGTATATACCTCAGGCAATCCCACTGTATTGATACCAAACAAATTCAAACAGAGATACACAGCAATTTTAGCAGACAACTCTGTTCTGAACTACAGAAATTGAGAGACTTGTCTAAAGACAGAGAGCAAGCACAGCTACAGTTGTGTTATTTGTGAGATTTTACCTTCTCAGAATAGCATAACTGAAAATCTGGCTTCTATCAAAGACAGGCACAGCTTTAGGAGTTGTAAAGGCATGATAATTCTTTTTTTATCTACACATAATTTTTTAAAACTCCTTAAAAATGAATATTTTTCAATATGAACAAAAATATGTATTAAGGGAACATAACCACAACATTTTCTAAATGCTTCAAATTAATTTTGCTTTAAGGTACATAAACTACCTTGCTGCCTAATAACCAGACTCTTGTTCTAGTCCAAAGCTTGTTCTTTGAACAGATTTTTTTCCTTACTTTGTTCTTGCAATTCTTTTTTTTTTTAATACAAGAGATTCTAGTCTTCCCAAAAGTACGCACTGGTAATGTGAATAACGGTACAAAAGAAATTACTGAATGGCCCCTAGAAACAACACAGTAACAGATCACAGGGAAAATTTGCAAGATTCTGGAGACCTTGGGAAATTAAACTTGCATAACTGCTGCAAATGTTTATGTCCTGCTATATTACAAGAATATTTGACAAAAATTTTAAACAAAATGCTTCATCAGTATAGATTACTGGAAAAGTGTTATACTTTAAAACCAAATCATCATCATTTAAATATTCTTTCATGCACTCAGGTCTGGGCTTCCAGTGTTCTCACTTCGAGCAATGTCTATGCAGTTCTGACAATGCAGATTGTGGGGTGGGGGGAGAATGATTTGCGCTTTTTTTATTTCCTAGTAAGTACAAAAAATCTGGAAGCAATAACTCAGAACAAGATTAGCTCATATTTCCCAGACCAGTTACTTTGCACCATTAATAATCCTGCTCCATTTAAACTCCAAAATGCCCAAACTAATTAAGCTTTGTTGTGCTTGCTGATTTAGAGAGGTGCTTGGGAGTAATATGCATGTTAATCAGTTGCCAGACTATATGAATTCTACTTCTCATTACTTTATTATTGTTATTTGGAATTGGTTTTCAGTTTTGAGGAAAAACTTCCTCCCCTCAACAGACATTCATGTCTGAGAACACCTACTCTGAGCTATAATACCCATTTGTTTTAGGGATGAGATGAGTCCTTCTACAATCACCAGTTATTAAAAAGCTTCTTGCTAACAGGGAACAAATAAAGATGTGGGACATCATAATTTCAATTGCTTAGCAACAACTCTTCGACATCATGTTCTGACAACTAGTTGGAGTATTTCCTAGTAGGAAAGAGTGGTTGACTGTCAGAAATGAGAACAAGTTCTTCCTTTATGGATGGCTACTGTTGCTTTTCTTAGCATCAGAAGAATTTCCATACAAGTTAAATCCTCATTTTTACTCATAAGAAAAGTTAAATCATGGATACAATACATTTTGAATCCTTATTCACTAGAAGCTCAGTTTGGCAAGGTCCAAAGTGAAGAAAAAAAAACAAATGCAGTTTTAGCCACCCAGGTTTACTTCAATACAGCAAAGTTGGCTTGAAATGTACCAGACTCAAACTGTAAGAGGCTTTCCTCATCTAAGATGAGCACATTTCTTGAGCCAAGCCTCTTTTATTCTACAGATTTTACTACTGAAAACTCTGGGTCATAAGAAGAAATGCAAAAGGACTGTGTAGAACTTAAAATATGTACGTGAGGTGATCCAATGCATTCTCGCCTCATACAAAGAAGGTTTGCAAGGAACACAGGGAAAGAGCTTCCAAGTTGTCTCTTAGACTTCATGACTAAGATTTATTAAGTCTGTTGGCCAGGAGCAACCTCTCTGGTTTCAGTACAGATTATCTGCTATTTTTCTTTTAAAATACCTTTACTCAACCTATGGTATTTTAGAAAGCACACACTTCGCTCAGAAAAGGAATTTCAAATACTTCTGTTTCATTATCAGAAAGGTACTAGAAGTTTAAATATATGAATACTATTTATCGTGCACCAAAATTTTGGACTCTCTTTCAGTTTTGGAGGTTGATAATCCAGCATTTCAACAGAAAGGTTGATGTTTTAATTTAGACAGTAAATTGTGGCATGGTCCAGTACAGCTTGAAATGCATGTGCAGTTTTATTATTCAATTTGTTAATATATTAAATTTTTTTTAGAAATTCACTCCATTTGTATATCTTACTTCTAGGTATATGCAAACCAACACATGCTCATACACATGCTTCTTTTTACTACTGTAGAATTAGTACTATTACACAGAGAAGAATTCAAAGAATTATATCAACACCACTCAAACACCAACCCGTTTTAAAAACATGTGGCACATTAAAACCTCATTCTCTTCTACTAGAACTCAACTGTTCTCAACAATGTTGTACTTTGTACAAAGAAAATTTAAAAGTCACCTTTCAAAAGCTGATTCAGATCCATGGCATCATGCAAGACTTTTCGACTATATCTACGATCGAACTCGGAATCTAGTGAAAAAAACAGAGATATAAGATTGGATTTCCCAGCCCCCTACGTTTTGCAAATTTTGTGTTGTACTTAAATTCTCAAAATTACCATATAATTCTTGGTTCACATTTTCCTGTCTCTTTACTTTTAGTTTCTTATCATTTGATGCTACAAGTTCAAAAGACTGGATAGGACTGATGTCTGGAGTTGACAAAGGTGTTACGTCAGTCACTGTGTCTTCAGACTCCTCCAAGTCCCCACCAAGCTTTGGTTTTCCTTCCGCTAATTTCATTGCTGACTCGAATTTTTGTTTTGGACACAAAAGAGCATTTCTACAAACATTCTTCTTTGGGGAAGAATGAGATGAATCTGATAAACAGCTATCAGAATCTGTATCAGAACAATCTGTATCTGAGCTTGAGGATGATGAGGAGGAGGACGAGGAGGAGGAAGAAGAAGAGGAGGAGCTAATATTAGTATATTTTTTGCTAGCCTTTTTTATGTTGTTTGGTTGCTTAGTTGACTTTGGTCTGACCCTCTGTTTTTTGCCATCATCGCTACTATCTTCTTCATCTGTATAATAGTCTTCTTCACCTTCTTTAACTATTTTGGGGATTCCAGCAGGAGTTTTCTCCTGTGTTCCTTTATTTGCTGCAGGTGTCGCTCCAGATGCACCTGCATTCTCTGCAACTGGAGAAACTGAGAGAGATGAAGCATCTCCAAGACGATCTGTGCTATTTTCTGGGGATTGATGCTTTTGCAAATCTATTTGCTTTTCTTCACTTTCCTCCTTACCACACTTTGCATCCTTTGAATTAGAAACTAAATCAATGCCTGCAAGAGCTGCCTTTGTACTTTCTTTCTCTATACATTCACCATTGTCTTCAGCTTTCTTTTTCTCTTCTTCAAAATCACTGTCAAAGAAAGCATGATCCACTTCACCATCTGATATGTCTTCAAAATGGTCCATACTGAAATACGAAATGCTACCTGCAATCATCAGAAAACATTTCCAAAGATTAGTGTAAAAACAGATTCAAGGACACTTCTAGTATAATAGTTTTGTTCTTTACTCTTTTAGCTGTAGTAATTTATAATTCTGCATTAACATTGTTATGTTGCTACAGACAATTCCATAATGAGTTCAGTAAAGAAATTTAGTGCCACCTTATTGCACACAGCTTATGTTAGACCAAAAAGTTTCGGTTTAAGCCAACAAAACCCATCACAATATCAAAACTATTACTCCTAAGCAAATTAGTCAAATATGGTTAGAGGCTAAAAGGTCTTAACTATTAAAAACAAGAAATTGAAGTGTCTTATTTTGTCCCTTTAAGCTAGAGCCATTTTAAGCTAGAGCCACTAATGAGCTACCATTACTTTGAATTTTATATTAAAAACCTTGTTAGTGTATGGTGGTCACCATCTTGGTTGACACAGCCATTCAAACTGCAGACTTTCAGCAGTTAAAAGTAGGAACAATTACAACTTACATCAAAAGATCAATGGCTCTGTAGGTTAAATTGTGATAGATGTATGGTGTGTCCGTGTTCATGTTTTAGTTTGGATATGGAGCCTGCTTTTCTTTACAGTCCTCTGTAACTCACACTCCACACTACAGTAACAAAACTTGTTCTTTCAGATGAATCTGGGCTTTAAAAAGTGTGCTCCAGGCATGAAACCAATGCATTTAAACCAGCAGTCACTCTTCAGTCCATGGGACCAGACTGTGGCTAGCCCAAATACATATTATTGCGGATATCAGGACCTCAGTGTTAACCACTACGCTCCACAAATCTGCTCCTATTGTGTCATATTTGTTGCAGAATTATATGGTGCTCCATCCTATGCATATGGCAGGCAGATAAGAAAATTTCCACTTATTAGTAGTATATATACAGAGTTAAAATAAAAAAGTCTAAACACCCCACGACCAAACAAAATTAGCCAGTATCAAAGACTAAGGGTCCCATCTTGCCAGCAGCACTATCCTCCTACTCTTTACAATACATTTTACATACATTTTGTAAGCTGCAATCAATAAATATGTAACATTCTTTAGGCCCAAGGAAACCAAACACAAAGACAGTGGAAGCAACTATACAAGGCTGGAGAACCAGCATATTTTACAAGAGGAATGGTCTCCTTTAAACCACACATAATTTGTTGCCATGGCAAACAAAGGTGAAAAAAGAAATTTCCAAGAAAGGTTCGGGCTAAAAATTACTTCAAAATACAGAATTTTTAAAAGCCTGTGTCACTCAGACATCTTGCCCCTTCTCAAATAATACTGTTTTAGAGGAACTAGAAACATGCACCCCAAATACAAAAAGCACAATATAAACCTTAAAAACAGGTGGTCTAGATCATCCTGTGGTTTTAAGATCCATAAAGCCAAAGGACTGAAAAGAGACTTAATATGGTTAGATGTTGTATATGTTGAAAACACTATTAAGCAATAGAAGCAGAGGTCAGATTTTGGTACCACGAAGCTAACTCTCCAAAGGACTGAGCTCTTCAAAGAGCAACAGAACAAAAGAGTAAAACACAGACATCCAGCAAGTTAAAGTCTCCCACAAAAACAAGGGCTAGTGATCATGAAATGTCACCCTGCTGCTTATAGAATACTTCACCTGTCTCTTCATGCTGGCTGGGTGGTCTGTAACAGACTCCCACCAGAATGTAGGCCTTGTTAGCCCTTCCCCCAATTCTTACCCAGAGGCACTCAACCTTTTCATCATTATCCTTGATCTTTATACAGTCAAAACACTCCCTTAATGTAGAGGGTCACACCACCACTACTCCTTCCTCACATATCCCCTCTGAAGAACTTATAACCATCCACTGCAGTACTCCGATCATGCAAGTCATCCCACCATGTTTCCATGACAGCGACTTCCTCATAGCTTTCCTGCTGCACAGTGGCTTTCAGCTCCTCCTGTTTGTTACCCATTCTGTGTGCTTTGGTGTACATGCACTTCAGCTGGGCTATTGATTTCACCCTCCATGTCACTTCTTGTGATACCTGGCTTCAGGCAGCTAGAATAGTCTGCAATGCACACCTATCATGTGAATTCCTGAAAGTTTTCCTAGAGCAGCTTCCTAAAAGGATAATGCATTTTAATATATAAAAAGAAGCACAACAGAAAAAAAGAAGAAAGACAGTTTAGCAGGCTGGCCATGCCCAAGGAGCAGCAGCAGTCTCACCAGTCATTTCACTGCTACATGCATCTTCCACTCTTCTGGTACTAGTCCCTAAGGACTTCAGCCTTCATCTTAATGGCAAACATACATGCCATGGTGGACAGTTTCTCTCACTGACAATCATTCACAAACTAAAGTTTCATTAATTCTGTTGTTTCCATTAAAAATAAACAAGAGGAAATAAACAAAGAGAATGTATTTTTGGATCCTATTCCACTCATGCATCTAGAGTGTCTGTAACAGAGCTGGAATTTGCTAAAACACAATACAGAAGAAGCAACTTTGCTGATAAACCATCCTAAATTAATAAATTGGTTCCCTGTACACTCTCACACCCATTTATATACAACAGAGAGTGTAATTTTATTTCTGTGAGAAGTACAGAGTTCTGTTACACTGTCAATTTTTAAAATACAGAATCAACAAGCGATACTCTAAAATCCCAAAGGCTTTCATTACAGTCAAATACTTACCATTAACTGCTAATTCGAATGACCACTGTATTTATTTACAAAACAATACAAAACAATTTTGTGTCTTTCTAACACAAAACCCTCTAACACAAGTATAATCAACTCAAATGAGCAGGCTCAACATTCAAGTACAAGCAGTGATCAACCTTCTTTTCTTTTAACCATTTCACTTTTATAGTTGAGGAAGAGGACGGTTCATATAGAGCGGAAAGTTCTTTCTTTTTCTGATCTCATAACATGCAAATTCCTAGCGTGCAGAACAGCACACTCTGAGTTTGTACACTGTGCATCCTCTAAAGGCCCTTATGTTTTCAGGACATTGTAACATTCTGGTATTTAATAAAAGTGGAAAACAAGCCCTTTAACATGCTAGGGCCTGAATCAGAAATGTCTAATGTTACCATGTACATCACCACAAAGGCCATAATACAGCACAGCTATAGTACACACAAGATACATCAACAGTATGTTTCCAGCAACAAAAAGGAACAGATATCACCTTAGGATGTATTAACAAACATATATGTAATATTGTATTTAACTCCAATAGGGCACTTTCTGGTTTAGGGTTACTAATTTTGCTTTGTTAGTATAATTGATAATGAAAGACGTAACCAAGCAGGCAACCTTCTCCCAGCCCAAACAATTAGTGCTTCTGGAGCTGGTATCTATCCTTTCAGCTGGAAACTTCTACCTCCTCAGAACAGTGACCCAACCTCCTGATCTCAGAAAGCAGAAACAAGTGCCTGAGAGCTAAGGGGTTGGAAGGGTTAAAGTGTTTTAATTAAAAGATTTGTACTACCAATGGCACATGTTCTATATGACACTCCCAAATCCCCTAATTCTACATACTCATTATTTCCCCTCTGGGTATCCTGCCCTCTTAAACCTGCTGACCACTAAATCGCCTCTTTGTAGGGTGAACTCGGGAGAGGCTGAAAATGCTGGATGAACCACACTCCCCCTCCTTCTCCCGTCCTTCCTCATTCTTGGCTGAGGCTTAAAAAACCCTCAGCAAATAAACAAAAAAGACAAATTTGAAAATGTCTACAAGAGAGCAATAAAAATGTTAAGATGATAAAAGCCCTACTTCTGGGAGTTTGTGTAGTTTAAAAGAGCGGAAAGAAGGGAAAACACAAGGCTTAAAACCTGTACAGCAGACTAACCAAAAACTTGGTTTGTTCTCAGATACACTTAATACTCATCAAGATCAGCTAGTGCAGCTGCTTCCAGCCATGTGACAAACTACTCATATCCAGCCCTACCTACCTCCTCTTTAAATAAAGTTTTCATATTTGCTAGTAAGAAACAACAAAGCATGCAAAGGAGGAAATACAGATCTTGGGAAACTATATCCTTTGAGGGAAACCCCCCGTGAATGAAACAACCAGCCTCTTCAGTACTTATTCAGATTTTCCAAGCTGAGAGCACAATATCTGCTACAGCTGTCCTGCACACCATAAGTTCGCCAAACTTCCCCCAGTTTCCTCCAATCCAAACCATGATTAGTTCATAACCAATCTACAGAACACAGTCTTGTATATTTTTAACATAAAACCCCTTTGATGAGCTCATGAGAAGAACCTGGAATCTTACAATAGTCTTCCAACTATTATTAGCTTCTATTCTTTCATGGTTCACCTACAAGAAAAATCTGACTCTGCCCAATTACAGGTAGCCATGTTGCTGCTGATTAACCACCCAGACATAACTATGTGGAGGTGAATCCCTTTGCTCAGATTACAACCTACATATAAGTATTTAGTGATTAATGACAAATCTCTGGTTGCTGGCTCATGAGACAGTAGCAGACTTGTGCCTGAACTAAGTAATCTGAACAGACCACAGGACGTTTGCCCCTCACAGATCAGATCTCACGGGCCCTAATTCAAGCTCAGATCAGAACTAACATTGTTTCTAATGCACCTGAAACCACTCATCTGGCTGATTCCCAGCTGACTTTCTAATACCTTTCACTGTCCTAGCTAGAGAAGAGGAAGGAAGGAAGACCTGCTACTTCAAATCTATGGGGTCAGTATAAACAGCCATTGCTGCCCTTTATTCCTCTGCTTTGCTTGGAGGGAGTGTGGGGGAGAGGGTCCCATTGTTTGCTTTAGTTTACTTTCAGTCCTGGTTCTCTCTGCTGGACACAATAGAAGAATTTTCCCCTGTATGCTCTGAGATACAGTTTAGTAACTCCCAAACCTATGACAGATTAGCCCTCAGAACAGCAGTTCTGTCTCAAACAGAGGTAGGCTTCCTGAAGATGCTCCAAACTACTCTTGAGTCCTTTCAAAAGAATTGCAACACAAAGTTCTGAGTCTCCTGGCTATTTCAAGTAAGAGTTCAGTTCAGTCAATGGGCACTAGAGGATCTTGGAACACAGTCAATTGACATCACTGGCTAGAGCAAATAAAAGCACAAGACCACCAAAGAGCCCTAGATGACTGCAGGGCAAAGGTTTTTAAGTGAATGTATGGAGTGGGGGAGGAGGGGAGGGAGAACAGAGGAAAAAAAAACAGAGGGGGGGAAAAAAAGGAAAAAGAAAAAAAGTTCCTCTTGAGCCAAAAATAAGCCATTCCCCTACTGTAAAAAGCTGAAACATTCACTGAGAGGCATGCATCTGTAGTTCCTGGACTTCAGTCATACAAACACACTAAATATTTGTTCTTCGGGTTCTTCAGCAAAGGTCACCTTGTGACCTCTTGAGCAGAAAGGCTGGGCCGGAGAATACTGAGGTTAAATGATGGGAGTGATGATGCCCATCAGACCTGTCTAAACAGACCATAGCTACTCACTCATCGCTGAGAATCCCCAAAAAATGACTGGTAAAGCCTCTAAACCCAGGGGGAAAAGAAGTAGCATACAATCAAAACCAAAAATAAAGACAATGAGTCTGCTTGTTGACAAGAGTATCAGCAGCTTCTGGAGGATTTCCTTCATAAGGTCCTCCATCTCTACAAGCATAAGTGACACTACCCACATCAAAGTCTCACGGGCCTGCTGCCATACTCAGTTTCTCACCGCCTGGAACAGTCCCATCTCTAGCTACCTCAGACACTAAGAGGCAAGATGCTAAGGGGAAACCAGTCACTGGCATTCACCTTTCCCAAAAGTGACCCATAGCCACAGTTTTCCGACAACATAGAACAGGTACGAAAAGCCGAGAAAAGGACAGACTGTACTACCAGGTATTGAGGGTGAAGAGCAAAGTAAAAGGCAGCTTAGTTTTCCCACTCCTGCTATACTTGCACATATCTATGAGGAGTATTTTTGCCCAATATCAAGATTTAAATCTTGGGACAACATGTATCCAACCAGACTATCCACAGTCTGGCAGAGTAGTCCACAAATGCATGCAAGAAAAAGGAAAACAATTCCTCTTATTAAAGCAAAACTTCAACATATCTGCCACATAAAGGCTGGAGTTACATTTGCCACCATCCCAGCGCATCCCTCATGGGACTACCTGCAAGTGCTTTCCTTAAGACCCAAGCATACCACTCAAACATGAGATCCCTCAGGACTCACTAAGGCTGTTGTTGCAGTTGTTGGGAGTCAGGTATTTGAAATTACACGGAGCCATAAAACCTCTCTTTCACCACAGTTCAAAAGTAAATGAGAAACAACAATTCTTTCACCAATATCTGTATGGTAACTTTCTCCCAGTCTCACCTCATAAGTACTAGTTGTGACCAGTCTGTGCTTCCGCCTCATTCACTGCACGCAGTAGAGGTACGGCCCAGAAACGTTTAGAATCTACAGATGTCCATCTGCTACTGTTGGGAAGCCAGACCTCAAAAATAAACCCATAATACAGTTCAAGAGCACTGAAACTTTTATCCAAGAGCTGACTATCTACACTGTTCACGTGCCACCTACTTTAGGATTTTTCTGGATTTGTCTCTGAGCCAGCCCTGAAATAGATGGCAGGACCACAAAGGAAGCAAGTATACCACTTTGCAAACTATTGATGGAGTCCAGCAGCAGACAAATCAAAGATAATTCAGAATATCAGGCCATCCCTACCAAGTGGCACAACACCTGACCTGTCTCCCACAACAGAGATGCTCGCTGAACCAGAAGTGTTTTCATGCTTCTAATATTACAGATTTAGTATGCTTAGTGACCTGACTACACAAATAGGCGTCATCAGCATTTCCTTCAACGTCTTGCATAGATGTGCTTCCACACACATCAAACAGACCTGAGTTTCTGGAAGGATTTCCTTCATAAGGCCCTCCATCACAAGATGTGTCTATTATCACAGTTTCAAACACACAGTTTTACAGACGTAACAATTACATTCTCCTCAGCCACTGAAAAATAAGATGCAATTCTCAATTTTCAGTGGGAGGAACAAGCACTGTCTGGTACAGATGGGCAGGGGAAAGTATAGAAATTCAGTCACTAAATCAGTATACAAAGAGCAGCTTCAACAAATATCACTTAGGAAGAGTCTAAATATATTTGTTTCCTCAAAATGTGCGTATGGGGCAAATGAGGTAAAAGGCTCTTGAGATAATCTCTTGCATTATATTTTTGTGACTTACTTGTTTCTTCAGATGAGAAGATATCAAGTACGGAAAAGCAGATAAGATGCTCAAACACAGGGCTCTACTAAATTCAACATAATAAAAGTTTCCTGGAGTTCCAGTGTTATTACAATGCAACACTTTAAGAATGACAAATACTCACAGCTAAATTGTGACTTAAGCATCCCTTGACATTGTTGAGTGGAAAAAAACTTAGTCAAAGAACACAGGTTATGTTTTAGACCATTACTGTCACCAGTCGTAGCCAAACATAACACCAAGAAGCAAAGAATGAAACAGCTTTAAGAAACAGCTATGGTGAAATCAATAAGGTACAGCCATCACAGTAAGTTTACCAATCTCCCAAGAATTTAGGGAGATACCTAGGTTCATCTAGGATCCAGCTCACTTTCAGACTCTTACATCAAAGCTTCAGGTACAATATTATGTCGTTCAAAAGGACAGATTTCAAAAAGCTTGTAGATGCTCCTGTCCCCTATGCCACACACAACCATACGCCACCTACCCTACAAATTTTGCACTTTTATGTGTTCCTAGGTTGAGTCTTTAAAGGTATTGGCCAATTGCACTTTCCAAGCCTCAACAGGCTGCAGTCCTGACGGCCCTCTAAGCCCATGTAAGTCTTATGAAGAAACACAGGATCCTCTGAATGCCCTACTGAACATGGGCAAGCATGAAACCAAAACAAAACTCCCAGTAGGTCATAAAAGTTTTAAGTTCCAAGAAAAAGAATAGAACATCCCTAAATTACTTGTCTTTTCCTTTGGTTTCTATTCTAAACCATTACAAGTATTATCTAGGTTGAGAAAAATCAAAGGAATAACATATGAACTGCAGGGAAAAAAAACCAAAAAAAACAACAACAACAAAAAACAAACCAGGAAAAAGTGGTGGGAAAGCTTGAGGCATTTCAAAAGCAGAGTCCAAAGCTCTGACAACTATATTTCTAAATGCTAGTTAAGTTATTTCACAAACCCATTCCTATGCCTACTTATTTTCTAGCAATGACGACTTCATTTTAGTCTTCAAGTAACTTCTCTGAAGAATTTAACTTTGTGGAACTTTGTTCTCTCTCCACGGACAACTCCAGCAATCACTTTCTATCCGACAAAGATAGATTAACTATTTTTTCACAGAGGCAAAAATGTGCATAATGCACTCTATGCTCTATATTGAGCACCTCACTACAGACAAAAGCAGGGATACAAAATAAATTTAGCGCTGCTATTTCTGTTACATTCATTCCATCTCACATTGTTGTCCTGGTGTTTTTATGAATGTTGTATAAAAATTTTAACCACACAATTTTTAAATATATATATGTCCAAATGCAAACACTAGACACTTTTTTAATATGTTTTATAGTAAGAATGAACAAGCATAAGTGTTTGCATACTATAATTATACTAGTTTCTGAAAAATTGTTCAGCACAATTGTAAAGGAAAAACTTCAGCCAAGCATAAAGGTTACATGATTTTAAATTAGATTGTGCCATAAGACATGCTGAACTATATTTTAAAATGCCAGTTTCCATAACATGCCGTGAAAACTCCAGAAGAAAACCCGGAGTTTGACAAACACAACATGCACTCCGCTGTATTGTACCATCTCGCTGAGTCGCTTTCAGATGTATTCCGTACTCTGCTCTGCCGCAGCGGCCCAGGTTTCACAGCTTTATCTCTTTAGTGATTTCCATACAAATCCACAGGGGCCGAGAGATTTGGTGGGTGGTTATTTTTCCAAACTAGTCTCACCTGGAGAACTGTTAGTGCAGAACTCTGCAGGGCAGGGGGAGTTAAAAGACTTTTGTCCTGAGCAAAGTGTGGAGAAGTGACTATTGCAATAAATTAACATGCTCGAGGCAAGCTGTTTACAATGACCATTTCAGCTGACTTAAATACCACTAATTAAACCCAAACAAAGCACTCTATTTCGGCATCAGTGCAACGTGTCCCTTCCAGTTCGGTAACTTGAAGGATGGCGCGCACGACACTGTAACTCACTGTCAAAGCCGACGGCTACGACACCAACGAGGGCCGGTGCCTCACAAGAGAATCACCTCTTTTCCAATTCCCTCCGAGGAGCAAAGAGGGCAGGCATGGCACTGATGTGGGGCGTACCACACGTCTCAGGGCGGCATGACCAACTCTGGCAGCTCAACGCCAGCCCCAGCTCTGCAAAGACAGAGCGCACGACGCGCTCGGGGACACCTACGTGCGCATCACTCAGACAGGGGCCCGAGTGGAAAGACGGCAAGTTAAAAGGAAAAGCATAAATATATATATACCGGTTTAAAATAATATATATGTACATACGAACAAAACATGTCTCCCACCTTGTTTCGGGAAAAAATTGCCGCAGACGGGGGAGGAACACGCCCGTCGTCCCCAACCGCCCCCAACCGCCCTCCCGGCACCTTCCGTGGGGAGGAGGCACCAAAGGCCCCACCGCCGGGCCGGCAGCTCCCGGCAAGAAACAGCAGCAGTAGCAGCCACTGCTGTCTCCCCCCTCGCCCTCCCCTTCCCCGGCTTTGTTGTGGTAACCGCGCAGGCAGCCGGGGCGGATACTCACGGGCGCGGGAGGAGAAACAGAGGGGAGGAGGAAAGCCGGAGCTGCGCAGCTCTGCCACGGCCGCCCCCGCTCCCGCTCGGCTCCTGCGCAGCCCCGCCCGCCGGGCGGGAACAGGCGGCGCCTGAGCGGGGCGGGCAGGGAGCGGGGCGCCGGGACCTCCTGGTGGGAGGTGCCCCTGAGGCACGGGCTGTCCCATAGAAGCACAGAAGCACTTTGGTTGGAAGAGAGCTCTGAGATCGTCGACTCCAACCTGTGACCGAGCACCACCTTGTCAACTAGCCCATGGCACTAAGTGCCACGTGCAGTCTTTTCTTAAACTCCTTCAGGGACGGTGACTCCACCATCTCCCTGGGCAGCCCATTTCAATGTCTAATCACCCTTTCTGTGAAGAAATTCTTCCTAATGTCCAACCTAAACCTCCAGTGGCACAACTTAAGACTATGCCCTCTCATCTTGTCACTGGTTGCCTGGAGAAGAGGCCAATCCGCGCCTGGCTACAACCTCCCTTCAGGTAGTTACAGAGAGCGATAAGGTCTCCCTGAATCTCCTTCTCTCCAGGCTAAACAACTCCAGCTCCTTCAGCTGCTCCTCATAACACTTGTGCTCCAGATCTTTCATCAGCTTCGTTTCCCTGGACTTGCTTTGTTTCTCTGGACTTTCTCCAGCAACTCAATCTCCTTCCTGAATTGAGAGGTCCAGAAATGGACACAGTACTTGAGGTGTGGCCTCACCAGTGTCAAATACAGAAGAATCACTTCTCTAGTCCCTCTGGCCACACTATTTCTGATACAGACATCAGTCCCTTCCCACCCTTCTCAGCTTCGTGGGAATGGGGCAGAGAGCTGGGACTCTTGCTGAGACCATGGGGCCCCAAGCTGAGGTGATTGTGCCCCAAATTGAGGTGATGGTCCCTGGGTTGTGGTGGTGTGGCTTCAGGCTGAAGTGATGGGTCCACGGGTTGAGGTAACACTGCCTCAGGTTGACATGGTGTTGCTCCCGTTTGAGGTGATGGATCTTCTTTCTGAGGTGATTGTGCCTCAAGCTGAGGCCATGGGGCTCTGCGTTGAGACAATGGTATGCTGGGCAGAAGCAATGGGGCCCTGAGGTGATAGTGCTCCTTGTTGAGGTGATTGCCCCCATACTGAGGCAATGGGGCCAGCCCCAAGCAGAGCTGATAATGTCCCTAGTTGAGATGATTGCCCACAGAGAGTGGTAATGGGGCTGCAGGTTGAGGTGACAGAATCACAGTCTGAGATACGGTGCCCAATGTTAAGGCAATGAGGCCCCATGCTGAGAAGACAGTTTTCCATATTGGGGTGGCAGTGCCCCATATTGAGGTGATGCTGCTCCAGACTGGATGATGGTGCCCCAGGTTGGGATGATGGCACTCCTGGTTGATGTGCTGGCAGCCTGTATGGAGGGGATGGTGACCCAGGCTGAGGGGGTGGTTCCCCAGGTTAAGGTGAGCCACCCTAAGGTGATGGTGCCCCATGTTAAGACAACAGGACCACAGGTTGAGGTGATGGGGCCCTACATTATAGTGCCAGGGCTGCAGCACTGGGCAATGTATCCTGAGGAAATGGAGAGGGGAAACTAATCTGAAGGGCTTCTAGGGACATCTGATCCAAATATTTGTGGTTAGATCAGGACCTTTCCCCAAGTGAACCTGATCTCAGCATCCTTGAATTTCAGTATAATTGTTGTAGAAACATGGTTAGAACCTTCAGGCAGTTTCTTTACTTCTGCCGCTGACTAGGTAAGTGGTGGGTACCTACTAGTGATCTCCCACTGGGAAGGAGAAGCATCCTATGTAAGGATGGGAATGGTTCCAGCTCTTTCAAAGGGTTCAGTTGCAATAGCAGACCTTGGCATTTCTTTAATGACAGCAATGTTACTTTTTAACAAAGTGGGAGAGAATTCTGTGAAAAGAAAGATTTCCAGATCATTGATCCACATATTCAAAACTCAAAATTCAACTTTACTTTGGCCCCGTTGTTCATCATGAAATAGATTTAATGACACAATCACGTTTTTTGCTGAGCATACTAAATTTTGAGCTAAATCAGGGCTGTGCAGGCAAGTCAACTGTTATGTATATTGCCCTATTTCACTTGGCACATGAACACACACACACACACAGAGGCACATATGTATGTGTGTATATACACACACATATTTTTAAATATATATATGTAGCAAATGTGTCAGAACACTACAAGAGAAGAAAGAAATCTCTTGAGTAAAACAACTGAACGTGCCTATGTTAACCAGAGTCAAGTTCTACTTGTGCTACATGGTGTTTAATGAAGGTTCTGCAAATTATGTAGACTAAATTTTTATACTTGGTCCTGACTCAGTTTACTGTTGAAATGTTTAATAATGACACTGCATCTAAAATCAATGGAAGCTGTATTTGGAAAACACTGTGCTACAAAATGCTGAGCCTTTCCTGATCTTACCATGTGAGGTCTTGGGTTACCTCACATAGGACACTAAATGGGTGCCTTCATCCTTTTTTCCTGTGTGTCAAGTCCCTGCCTGCAAATATTCAAAATACAATACCACTGTCTCAAAAAGGTGTAGCAAAAATAAAATCAGTTAATATTAATGTAACTCACATATTTTGTACATTTAAGATACTGAGAAGTATAACATACCATCTCCATTTCTCTTTCTCTGTTAGCTAGGATTCCTATGATTGCTTCTAACAGTGTTAGTTATCCAGGTTTACCTGGTTTACCACCAGGTTTAAAAGTTCATGAGCCCTTGTAGGTTTTGTACCCAGAATCTTAGAAATTTCTATAAACTATTAATATGACTGTAACTGCAATGCAGCACCACAGCAGTTATTAAAAAAGCATGTAATTCATTCAAAGTTGTAAGTATGCTAAAAATATAAAGCAAATATGCACTTTATGCACCTTTTTTGCCTATAATGTAAATTTCCATTTAAATTGAGAAGTGGTAACTTGCTAACGTTTATAGCAATGGGATCTGAGCCAGAAAGGCTCACAAAACAGAAGGTAAATGTGAAAAAGGCTATAAGAAAGTAGTCATTTTTAGCTTGCCCAAATATTTTAAAGGTGCAAATTTATTGAAGTGTAAAGTTTGCAGTATTGTGAAGGTGCAAGTTGAAAAATTGTCACTAAAGGTAGCTGTAAAATTGGCTTTGAATTAGTGGGGCTTTGTCTAGGGTATGTTATAAAGAGAAATTATACTCCTGGTTCAGAGGAAAAAGGTGAAGATGCTGACTCTTCCCCCAAACCAGACATAATTTCCATTTTAAAACAAGATTATAATTGTCTTATCTTTGTAGGAAAGATATTTGCTCTAATGCTTGAATAAGGTAGAGTTTGAATCTCTTTTCTCATAAACTGGTTCCATGACTGGTTAAATAGTTACAGAAAGACAATACAATAACCCCCAGTTCAGAAAATTGACCTCTGAAGTCCTTCTGTCTTGCATAGAAAACTAATTTTTAAAGTACAAAAGGGGAAGTTCAAATAACACAGAGGTAAACTTGAAAATTGCCATTAACTTCAGTGGACCTAGGATGTCATCTAAAATATTAGGAATTGTAGCTCAGGTTGAAAAGTCATAGAATCTTATTAAAAACTAGAAGAAAAAGAACCAAATCTTCTTCCAGCTCTATGGATACACACTTGAATTGATTTAGACATATCTAATTCAGGGTATGATGTGTAAATCCTAGCTAAAATTGGTGGGATTACTCACTCAGACAAGAACTGGTTTTGTGCATAAGCACTGCAGGGCTAAACCGTAATTGCAGGTAGGGTTTTTTTTTTGTTATTTTCCTCTCCACTTCTGAGAATTAATACTGTAATAAGAAAATAATCTCTGTTTGCACAGGACTAACAACATTACATGCTCTGCTTCAGGTTAATTTTAAAATTCAATTCCTTTAAGTAGCTCTGACAGAGGCCCTGGCAGTTTCCTGAATGCATTTGCAGTAGAAGGTCTCTGTCTAGTTCCTTGTGTGGATCTTTATTAAGATCCCAGAATAGACCTTGAACTCAGTCCAAAGCCCTGTATATTCTGAAATCTTTGATGGATAAAGCATGTGCTGGGAGATGGATCTTTGCTTTCTGTTGTCTACCTGATGAGAATAAAATAATGTTACAGGAAACCTTCTAGCATGTTGGACCTTATCCAAAAGCTTTCAGACTCTGCAAGAATCTCTCTGTCGGTCTTAATGATCAGATGTATTGAAGAACCCTGTTCCCAAAGCTCTTCAGTGAAGCATCAGGATGTTTTGCCACAAGTTAATTCGCCTGGGGAGGGACTGCCATTGCAGTAGTACTTTCACTTTTAGGCTATGATGATTTTCACCTTCAACCACATTAGAGATATTACTTAAATAATCAATTTTGGACACTGCAAATGGTCTGAGCTAGTATTTAAAAGGATTTTGTGCAATTTAATATCCACTAAATAGAACAAACTGTAATAAAATTATATTTAAGTTACTGTAAGGACTTTGGGTCAAAGTAAGGAGAAGTGTATCTTTTGATCAGCAACCAAGAGGGGAGCTAAAATCCCTTCATAACTACTTTGGGATTTTGAGAGGAAATACATTGCTATACAAACCTCTATTACACACAAGC